ACCATGTTGACCAGGATGGTCTCGATCTCTTGACCTCGTGATCCACCCACCTCGGCCTCCCAAAGTGCTAGGATTACAGGCGTGAGCCACCGCGCTGGGCAGTTTTTTTTTTTTTTTTTAAAGACAAGGCTTCACTTTGTTGTCACCCATGCTGGAGTACAGTGGCGTGATCTTGGCTCATTGCAGCCTTTACTTCCTCAAGTAAAGGAAGTTCAAGTGATCCTCCTGTCTCAGACCCCCCAAGTAGCTGGGACTACAGGTATGCCACTACGCCTGGCTAATTTTTGTATTTTTTGTAGAGACACAGTTTCATCATGTTGCCCAGGCTGGTCTCAAACTTGTGCCTGCCTTGGCTTCCCAGAGTGCTAGGATTACAGGTGCCAGCCATGGCATCCAGCCTTGTTTTAGATCTTTATTTTAGAAAGTTCCAAACGCATAAAAGTAGATTTGGCTGGGGGTGGTGGCTCATGCCTGTAATCCTAGAACTTTGGGATGCTGAGGTGGCTGGATCACCTGAAGTCAGGAGTTCAAGACCAGCCTGGCCAACATGGTGAACCCTCATCTGTACTAAAAATATAAAAATTAGTGGGTGTGGTGGTGCGCGTCTGTAATCCCAGCTATTTGGGGGGCTGAGGCAGGAGAATCACTTGAACCGGGAGGTGGAGGTTGCAGTGAGCTGAGTTCGTGCCACTGCTTTACTGCCTGGGTAGGAGACTGAGGTTCTGTCCCAACAACAGCAACAACAGCAACAAAAATGTAGATTCATCCTGCTTTGTAAAAACTTAAAAATTTTTTTTTTTTCTACTCACACACCACCACAGTTATCAACACAGAAAAAGAATTCTGTGGCCAAATGTGTGGGCAGTTTTCCCCACACACTGAAGAGCTGGTACCAGTTGAGCGTCCTACAGTTCAATGCCGACACTATCTGCCTGGAGATAGTGTCCGATCCTGCTGATTGAATGCAGAGTCTCTGAGATTGCTCCCTAACCCTCATCAGTCACAAGTCCGGGCCTCAAATGCTTTTGACCACCGACTTCACTCATGTTGGGGTTCCCTTGATCCTCGATTGCTAGAGTGTTTCACAGAATTCAGGGGAACACTTGTATGTTTACTGGTTTATTCTAAAGGCTATTTCTTTAGAAAGGATACAGGTGAAGAGATTTGTCTGACAAGTATGGGGGAAGGTGCACTGACTTTCCATGTCCTCTCTGGGGCATTAGCATCCATGAACCTCCATCCAGGTGGTGAGCTAGCTGGAAGGTCTCCAAATCTAGTCCTCTTGAGTTTTTGTGGAAGCTTCATGATGTCAGCGTCAGCATTCCTTCTCCCAAAGTACAGAGTGGGACTCTCTCTGGGGAGGGTCTCTCCCTGTTTTTTTTCTTTGTTTTTGAGACTAAGTTTCGCTCTTGTTGCTTAGGCTGGAGTGCAATGGTGTGATCTTGGCTCACTACAACCCCTGTCTCCTGGGTTCCAGAGAGCCTCCTGCCTCAGCCTCCCGAGCAGCTGGGATAACAGGCATGTGCTACCATGCCCCGCTAATTTTTTGTATTTTTAGTAGAGACAGAGTTTCTCTCCATGTTGGTCAGGCTGGTCTTGAACTCCTGACCTCAGGCGATCTGCCTGCCTTGGCCTCCCAAAGTGTTGGGATCACAGGCGTGAGCCACAGCGCCTGGCCGCCTCTTATTTATTTATTATTTATTATTATTATTTTTTTAAAGATGGAGATTCACCATATTGGTCAGGCTGGTCTCGAACTCCAGACCTCAGGTGATCCGCCCACCTCAGCCTCGCAAAGTGCTGGGATTACAGGCATGAGCCACCGTGCCCAGCTATTTATTTATTTATTTTTGAGACACTCTTTGATTCTGTTGCCCAGGCTGGAGTGCAGTGGCACCATTTTGGCTTATTGCAGCCCCCACCTCCGAGTAGCTGAGATTACGGGTATGTGGCACCACGCCTGGCTAATTTTTGTATTTTTAGTAAAGATGGGGTTTTACTGTGTTGGTCAGACTGGTCTCAAACTCCTGACCTCAAGTGATCCTTCCACTTCTGCCTCCCAAAATCCTGAATAGGAATAAGCCATCTTGCTTGGCCTGGGGAGGTTCTTAAGATCCACAATGAAAAAGGGGTATTGGGAGAGATATTAGAGTTCCACATTAGGACAGTTGAAGGGAGAGTGGGAGAAGGTCTGAGAGATTCTGTTTCCTGAGGCCTGCCCTTGAGACCTGACATAACTAACATTATAACAAAAGACTCTAAAAAGGGCTATGGGAGTCATGAGCCAGGAGCTGTAGACGAAAACCTAATGTATGTATGTGTGTGTGTGTATATATACACATACACATATATGTCATAACACCATACAGCCCCAGTAACTGTCAATTTTATTTTATATACATACCCTCTGCTCAGTTATTTTAGAGCAAACCCCAGTCATATCATTTAATCTGTCAAGTTATTTTTGTATATTTCTGAAAGATCACATAAATTACTATAATAGCATTATCCTAACTGTGGGAAATGAACTTACTCTTTTTTTTTTTTTAAGGTAATCAGTTATTTAATTAGATTATTAGGACATTTAAAACACCAATTTGTGAGGATAAATTCCATTTGTCAGGGCAAACACAAACCGCAGGTAGCCCTGGAGCTGAGGAATAGCTTTGATTTTTGGTAAAATTTGTGAGTCCACAGCTTTTGGATCAATCTTGCGCTGCTCTGTAATCTTGTATTTGTCTTTTTCTGTGTTGAAGATCTCACCTTCCTGGTGTGTGGGCTTCCACAGCTGCTGCTTCTTGAAGTAAGCATCAGTAAGATGTTTTGGGATTTTTACATTGCTGATATCAATTTTGGTTGAGGTGGCAGTGACAAATTTCTGTTGCGTTCTTCGCAAAGGAACTCAATTGAGGACCAGAGGTCCAGTCACAAGTAACAAGCCACTAGCTAGCTGCTTCAGGAAAACCACCCTCTTGCCCCTGTGGCGTCCAGTGAGGTTGATCAGAATGGTCCCAGGAGTAATGCTGGCTCGCAGTTTTCTCACGTGCTGACTAAAGGGTGTTTTGCCGTGGCTCAACAGCTTTCGAGGCACATCTTCAGTAGGATAATACCTAGGCATTTTCTGAAGTTTAACCATTCGGGCACTGCTGTTTTTGTCACCACCAGCTGGTTTTCTAAGTTGCAAGAACCTTCTTTTTCTTTTCAACGTTGGATTTAGCCGCTGAGTACTTCCTCTTGTACATGGCCTTTCTAGAATACATGGCAGATCGGGAATACCCGCCAATTCCTCTGACAAGAATAGGATTGCGGCTGCAATGGGACTTCCCCTTCTTGGGCTTTTTAGCCTTGAGGTTACCCTTTTTCACTTTGCTACCAGCATCAGCCTTCTTGGCTTCAGGTTTCTTCTCTTTAGTATCTGGCTTCTCAACTTTTTCACCCGCCATCTTGCAAGATGGGAAAGCTGAACTTATTCTTTAACAAATTATCAAAGATTCATGTAGTGTTCATGTTCCCTATTGTTTTATTGGATTGGGACTCAAATAAGGTCTGTAAGTTGTAATTGATTGAGATGTAGTCTTTAAGATCTTTTTCAGCCTGTAGGTTCTCCTTCCATCTTGCTTTTTTGTGTTGAAGGAAACTGAATCACTTTTCCTAAAAGCTTCCTATGGTCAGGATTTTTCTGTTTAATTTAGTTTGCTACTATTTTAATTAGGATTTGGGTATGTATATATAAAACATAAATAATCAGCTGAGTTTGGTGGCTCATTCCTGTAGTCCCAGATACTTGAGAGGCTGAGGTAGGAGGATCTTTGGAGCTCAGGAGTTTGAGGCTGTAGTGAGCTATGTTCATGCCACTTCGCTCCAGCATGGACAACAGAGCAAGACCCTTTCTCTAAAAACAACGATTAACAAAAATTAAGTATGATTATGTTTCTGGTTCTTTTTTCTCCTTTGTCCGTTTTTGGTATCAGTATTATGCTGATCTCATATGAGAACTTAAAATTGAGCAACATTGATTCAGCAGGACTTAACTGAGCACTACTGCGGCCAGGCACTATGCTTGGTGTAATGGTGAATGAGACAGAAGTGGTATTTGTCCTCATAGTGCTTAAAGGCTAGTGGGGAAAACAGACAATAAACAAATTCTGAATAAATTGATAAGCTGCAAGTATATATTTGTTCCCATTTTATGTGTCGGAGTAGGTTAAATAAAATAGTAATAACCTGTTTCTTCAATATTTGATAGAAGTTTAAATAAAGACGTCTGTCCTGATATTTATTTTAGCATACACATTTCATAAGCATGTGAAATACTTAAGAATCCTTTTTCTCTCCCCATAAATCTTTGACACCATGTGAAATTGTTCCATCCTTATATTGTTTGTCCTTTAGTCCTCTACAGTGTTCTCCTAAGGATTTGAGTTTTCCAGCTTTGTGAACAAGGCTCTATTACTTAATTATTTCTGTGGGAAAAATCATTCAGATTTCACAGGATGGAAACAATGATACAATCCACTGAGTTTGAAATACTCCTGGAAGAACAAAAAAATTATGTTTGTGATTACTTATTTCAGGTCTAATTAATACCTTCTAGTATGGTAACTTCTTTTTGTTTTAAAATTAATCAGTTAGAGACTGGGCGTGGTGGTTCATGCCTGCAATCCCAGCACTTTGGGAAGCCACGACAGGCAGATCACTTGAGGTCAGGAGTTTGAGACCAGCCTGGGCAACATGATGAAACCCTGTCTCTACTAAAAATACAGAAATTAGCTGGGTGTGATGGCACATGCCTGTAATACCAGCTACTCAGGAGAGTGAGACACAAGAATCTCACTGCTGCACTCCAGAGTGCAGAAGACAGAGCGAGACTCTGTCTCAAAACAACAGGCCGAGGCGGGCAGATCACGAGGTCAAGAGATTGAGACCATCCTGGCCAACATGGTGAAACCCCATCTCTACCAAAAATTACAAAAAAAAAATCAGCTGGGCGAGGTGGTGCACGCCTGTAGTCCCAGCTACTCGGGAGGCTGAGGCAGGAGAATTGCTTGAACCTGGAAGGCGGAGGTTGCAGTGAGCCGAGATTGTGCCACTGCACTCCAGCCTGGTGCCTGGTGACGGAGCAAGACTCTGTCTCAAAACAACAACAACAACAACAAACTAATCAATTAGTATTGTATTAGTTATTTGTTGAGGAAAATAGTGTCAAATAGTAAGGATTTTCTTCTTAAAAAAAATTGGCGTGGATTGTATATACTTGCTGAGTCAAGTATACTTGTCTTGCTGAGTCAGGTATACACAGTCCACACCCAATTTTTATTTTTTTTTATGTGCCCTGAAAATTAAGATAAAGTCTTGTGCTATCTTTTTTATATGTATAAGATTAGAAAAACCAATGAAATTCATAGTTAGAAAATAATCTATCTCCATTCCCTAAATTCAGGAAAGAATGTGAGATCATCCAGTAGTCTCATTTTATGAAAGAAGCCCTAAAAATTCTTTTCATCTCCATTCAGAGGTTTTGACTGATTCTACAAATCTTTCAACCAACCAGGGTGCTCTTGTCTCTCCTGCATTCTGGTGTAAATTGTGATATGATTATTAGAGTTGGGAAGGAAATGATATTTTTGGTTCAATAACTTCCTGACTTTTTTTTTTGCCAACCAGTATTTTTTCAGTTGCAAGATTAAATTGATAGGTTTGTGGTCAGATTTCCTCTTGAGGACATTGTACTTTTACTGAATTCTCTGAATAAAATATTTTAAATAAATTGTAATGAATTGGTTGAGATGCTGACTTGAAATTTCTGATTGACTAATGCTTTTAGTTTATTTATTTATTTGAGACAGAGTCTTGCTCTGTTGCCCAGACTGGAGTGCAATGGCGTGATCTCGGCTCACTGCAACCTCAGTCTCTTGGGTTCAAGCAATTCTCCAGCCTCAGCCTCCTGAGTAGCTGGGATTACAGGCATGTGCCACCACGCCCAGCTAATTTTTGTCAAGCAATTCTCCTGCCTCAACCTCCCTAGTAGCTGGGATTACAGGCATGTGCTACCACGCCCAGCTAATTTTTGTATTTTTAGTAGAGACAGGGTTTCAAATGTTGGTCAGGCTCTACTCGAACTCCTGACCTCATGATCCACCCGCCTCAGCTTCCCAAAGTCCTGGGATTGCAGGCATGAGCCACTGCTCCGGGCCCTGCTTTTATTTTTTTTGAGACAAGGTCTAACTCTGTCACCCAGAGTGAGAGTGCAGGCTGGAGTGCAGTGGTGCTGTCACTACTCACTGCAGCTTCTATTTCCCCAGGCTTAGGTATCCCCTGTCTCAGCCTCCTGAGTAGCTGCGACTACAGGCCTGTACCACCACACCTGGCCAGTTTTTGTATTTTTTATAGAGACAGGTTGCCACTATGTTGCTCAGGCTAGTCTTGAACTCTTGGGCTCAAGTGATCCTCCGGTCTCCCAAAGTGCTGGGATTACAGGCGTGAGCAACCACACCCAGCCCTGGCTAATGCTTTTATGTCATGACTCCCATTCTGATTTTTAACAAGTCATTCCTTTCTTGTTCTTCCATTAAGGTAGTCTCACAGGACTTATAATTTCAGACTATTTATTGGTAACTACAAGATATTATAGTTTTAGCTTTTTCATTTTAAGGGTATTGTTTTGTCTATTTGTATTCTCAAATTACATATTAGGTAGAATTGTTAGTTACACAATTATCTATTAAGGAAAGTTTGAAGGGAGAAAAGCCACCCCTGCTAAAGATTTGACACTGTACTATATGCTTGGAGGATTAAGAGGAGACCAGAGCTAAGAAAAATCTTCATCTGGATTTTCTTGACCCATTTTGGAATTAGCTGCAGTTCTTTTTTTTTTTTTTTTTTT